CGAACCAAAACTAATTGTTTTTTAAGTAGGAGAATGTAAAGCGATCGTTACAGAAACAGGATTGATTGAAATAGCATCTGTTCTTAAAAGTTACAATTATGTAGAAAATGATCAGACACCGTTTTATCTGTTGTTTGAAAAAAACTTGATATACATTTGTATAGTGTGGTGTTTTCTTTTTATTTAGAAGAATTAGATTAACAGCCTTTACGATAGTGGATGACTTGTTCATGGCATATAATTCAAATTAGACTGCTGATTTATTTTACTAATAACAAAGTTACATCAAGCTGTTTAACAAACAACAATGCTCACTAATGACAGATTAATTAAAAAAATCATCAACTAAATGTGGTTGTGATTCATCGAGAAATTACATCAAGCATACAAAATCAACTCCAAAAATACAGCGAAGCAACAGAATATGTGATTTGAATTTCAACGTCTCAATCATCCAACGTCTTCGTGTCCATGCAGCCACTGTTCTAAAAAAATGAAAACGTTTCAGAACAATGATTGTGTAAGATAAGACTAATAAAAAGACTAGCAACTGTATTTGTCGTCGATTAAAATCTAGGCATACAGCTCATCCCCTGTTCGACACTATTTCGACTGTTTCATTCGGTAGCATTATCGAATTCTTGAAAAATGTTAATATTTACATAAGTATCAGCCAATAGACAACTTTAATCGCGTATGTCAAAGGAGATAAATATTTCTACTGAGTATGACAAGCAGACTGATTGAACATTGTGTCTCTATGCAATGAACTGCAACGACTTTATCATATGTTATTCATTAAGCATTTTATTTTCCCCGCATATCTCAAGCATAACAAAATCTCAAAATTATCCATGAATACCTTTAGCAGCATTTACTTAGTATTTTTGGATTAAACTTCAATAGATATCGTAGCACGAGTGCCTATCACTTGATAACGACAAATTAAATTCGGATGCACTCTTGTGACACCGTTTGAAAAACTTTTCACTGAAAATACATTCACTTGAATAATCAAAAAACACTAATGAACTGTATTCCATTCGATGCGCTTGAGGCTTTCAAAGTAAAGCTTCAGGACTTTCCAAAAGTCCTTCCCCATAGCTAATTGAATGCTCAAACTCTTAGAACAAGACCCTACTGGGAAGGACGCACTTGAGTCTAGGGCTCATGTCTTATGCCCATCAAACACTTAATGTCAGTTTACCTTCAATGGAAGAGACGGTTCCGGTATGATTGAAGGAACTTGCCGTATCGTGTAACAGTTTTGCGAAACTCTTCCTTATAAATCTTCGATGGCAGAACAAATAAGATAAAACCAAGAAGCAGAGGGATGAATGAAATAAAGTATCCAATAAGAAATAACCAGTATTCTCGAGGAGTATTCATACACCCCGAAACAAATGAAAGAATTGCTCGTGGTATAGCAATTAGAACCAAAACACATGGAGCAACCAAAAGGTTATAATGTTGCAGGAATTGTTGATACAAGGTCTGTTCGTAAGATAGATCTGTTCGAGCGTTAATACGCTTTTTAGTCGTTATGATAATAATCAATAAAGCCGATACAAAATTCATTATAAATGGTATGATAAAGTGAAAAATATTCATAATCAAATCGAACTTTTTCAAACCTCGCGAATATGCTAAGGTACACCAGATTCGTTTTTCATAATCATTCTCATCGTCAATCAAACGTCGATGAATAGGATCGTGTATGCTTGTCATGATTGTGAATATAAACAGACCAATAATAATGTATTTAGCCATTTTCTTACTCTTCTTTTGATCGAAATTAATACCTTTCATTGTAATTATTGCTCGATCCGTGGCTATACATGCATTAAACCATTGATTCATATTTAGGCCAATTTGTAAGAAAAAATCGATTAAAACACATTGTACATATAAGAATGATTGATTTGAGATCAATCCTGTTTGTATCGCAATAAGTATCCAAAACTTAAGAGTCCAAATGATAACCGTGATTAAAGTTGTTATCGATGAGCATAAGAGATAGAAGCCGCTACTAAACTTTAGTATTGTTTGATTTCGAAATGTAATTAGAGAAAGAATACCATTTATAGATCCTATCAAGATCATTGCGGTGGACACCACTATGCTTACTTGTACAGCTGTTGGTTGATTAAGAATACTAGTGCCCGGCCGAATATGATAACTCAAAATAGCATCGAGCGACAAACTGAAACCATGTGTACTGAATTGGCATCGAGCTCCATAGAAGCATCGAGGGCAAACACACATTGATGCTTGTGGACAAATCCGATTATCTTGAAAACATTCGGCACCATTTTGACATGAATTTTGACCAAAACAATCCAGTTTCATCTGATGATTAAATTCAAAGCAATTAGCCAATCTTTGATCACCAAAGCTATCACATATACATAAGTGTGCTTCATCATAGAAACAAGAGAGATGAGTAGAGCGATTTTGACATGGAACATGATAGAGCTTGATACGACGGAGCATGTGCGATCGAACGACCGTCTGATGAAATAATTCACTAATATGTACACAGCGATCGGATGGTTCAATAGTTTTTATATGTGTCATCGATCGATTATATGCCGTTTGAATAATACTTAGATAATACTTCTTACTTAGTTCAACAAAAACAATGTGAAATGGGCGTGACCAAAGTAAACCTGTGGTTCGTGTCCATATCGGAATCGTTGCGAATGTCGTTGCAATATTCGGTTGCTCATTCTCGATTACTTCAATGAAATGCACAAGCATTGATTCTGGTAAAACAATATCTTTATGAAATGTTATGATAATCTTTGAACCAACCCTTTCACATTGATTCCCAGTAAAACCTTTACGACAAACACATATGAACTTTCTTTCGAGTGCATTGTTTCCATTCAAGGGTATATATTGACCACCATTTTGGCATGTGCTATTTTGATCTATATCATGTGCTAAATTACCAAGCAAACATCGAGAACCAAACTTTTCGACAGGACAAATGCAAACCGGTCGTTTATTAGCTGCCTTCCCAATGCATAATGAATCTGAGGAACATGTACAGTCATATGGAATCGTACAGTACCAACCAGACCAACCTTGATGGCATCGACAGAACGATTTACCAACGAGACTATTTGCATATGTGACACATCCACCGTGAATACAATTCTTATCCAAACAAGTGTCAAGTCCATTCTTTTCACGGGGTATTGTTAATTCTGTAGCAATACGATGTACAGGTAGAAATGAATAATTCAGCGGTACCAACCAGCTTCCTCGATATTTTAATGAAATCTTTTCAAATATATCGATGTGTATTGAATATTGCGTCGGTTCTAATTCTTTTGGCCGTATGGAATAGAGTAAGTAAATACCGTATTTTATTCTACAGTCATGCACGGGTAGATACGTCAACTGTTCATATGTATGAATTGTTCGTTCATGAGTATTGTCAATAAGCATGATAAGAAATAGAAATGGTATTCGCCAAGAGTCGGGAAAAGCTGCAAATGTTAATGTGAGACTAACACGTTGATTTTGATATTGACATCGATCACCATAGAAACTCGGTGGACAAAGACATGTACTTGTAGTTAAATTTTTTTCATCATCTAACCAAACCGTCAATTCAATACCACGATGACATCGTTGTTCACGTTTAACGAAAGTTCGATCTGTTGCTGATGACGTGATTGATATCATTTGATCATCTTGTTTGATTGTAGTGGTTGATTTTTGTTGTTTACCAAGGGAAAAGTGTACTATATGACGTTTAGGTGTGTTACTGAAATGTTTACGAAAAAAATCTTGAGCATCACTATTCAATGGTTTAAATTCATCTAAGTTTGGAGCATCAGGTAGCAGAATAATGGGTTTGTGATAGCAAAATTGTTCATCCTCTCGCAGTCTGCATTGTGTTAGTGAGTCACATAGCAAAATGGAACGTATGCAGATATTTTCGGTGTCATTTCTACAATAAAATTTATCTTGCACATGATCAGTATGATATGATCGGCAAAGCTTTGGTTCATCAGTACCACCTAGACAATCTACTTTTCCATCATTGGCTCGTGTGATTGGTAAACATGTAAGTTGATTTGTATCAGGTAATACACAAATATGATGGTGACGACTACATTGGATTAATGGCGAAGAATCGCAATCGACTTCGTCGGCTCCATTATAACAATTCCATATGCCGTTGCATCGTGTGTACGTATTATTGCATGGATATCCTTCACAGTTGGTTTCGTCTGTTTCATTTGCGCCATCAATAGTAATCGGTAACAGTTCAGTGAAACCATCACATATTGTCTGAAATGAAATGTGACGTTGTGATATATCGATGTCAAGAGATTCATCTACGCAGATACTTTTGTCATAGAATGGACAATCGCACATACCATCTTCGACGAAACGATTAGAAATGCATTTTTTTGTTGCCTCACATTTAAAATATTTTGCATTCAAACAAATATTATTGACTAGTCCACTGCCTTCATCGTCAGCATAATAACAATCTATTATTTTATCGTTGAGACGATCTTTCGAAATACACTTAGTTGAATTTAAACATTGATACATGTTAGGTTTATTACAAAGTACCGAATCGGTAATAGCTGTTGGATTGTATGGCCAAAAATATTCGAACGCAGTTTCAAAAACTAAATCTTTCCAAGAACCTATTCCTAGGAAGTAGTCTATCTTAAATTGGTCATGATGATGACATGTAAGATTATTAAATGGCACCGATGAAGTATTTGCAAAATATTCTTGGAATATAGGCTCTCTGTAGCAAATGTATTGTGGTGGTTGTGTTTCATACATCATCTCTTTAGATTCATTATTCGTATAGGCAAAATAGATATTGCCAAAGAAAATGGGGCTGTTTGGGATGAGCATAAGACCAGGGCAAGATGCTTCGATGATTTTCTTACAGGTGCCATGATGACGACATTTAAAACATTCAGGGCTAAAGATATCCTTAACATGAAGAACGCATAAAAAGGTTGACCAGCAAATGTCCTTGACTGTATTTGGTTTCTCCAACAGTATAGCTTCCAAAATTAAGGCCAGTCGATTTTTTGAGCAAAAGTTTGAGAAAGGTTTGCCGAAGTCAGTATCGCCTGTTGGGCAAACACCATCTTCGCATGTAAAAGTTGGCTGTGCCGTAATACATTTTTTAGCTAATATGTGAGTTGAACTAAGCTCATCGGTTCTATCGAGGCAGTCGGGAATAGAAGGATCATCATGAAAGAATCTCTTGGGTATGCATTGCCCATTTACGCATCGATATTCATCATTTCCACATTCGTTGATTTCAAGTTGCCAACAATTTTCTTCATCCCGCCCACCATCAATACAATCAATTTTTCCATCACAAATTTCACTCCAATCAAGACATGCCATTATGGCACCACGATTACACTGTAGATGAATATAACATGTCAATGTTGTCAATTCAGATCTTTGCATAAAGGAATAATCGACGATTTCAGTCAACGTTGAATGATAAGGTTCGTAGTCATTGAAACTATATTGACACATGGGGCCAAATCTAGGCCCTGTGCAATTGTAAAAGAGATGTGCAGCCATTGATGTGATATTTGATATTTTAACATGTTGAATATAGTACTCATAGCGTTCAACTACGTCCATTGGCGCTGACCAAGTGTATAGTTCCCAACTAGTAATACCTTGTTGATAGAGCATTTCGAAAGTAAACATACGATCACGATTATTCTTCTGTATATTCCATTTTGATGGCCATTCACTCAAACAATAGAACATAATCTGACGAGAATCATTCGTATTTTTAGTAGGAATAGTAACGTACAAGCAGTTATGTTGTAATGCATGATCACTATCGGTTTCCTCAATTGAATCTGTCAGATGAAGATTAATTTGAGGTAAGCTGATCACTGTATGTAATATCATGAAATACGATAGAATGCTGATGCATATCATGGTCGATCTTTCAAGCAGATTTAAGTGAATGAAAAAGTTTAAAATAACGTTTTCAAGCTTCTAGTACGACGCATTTCTCTTCTAGATAATTACTTATCTTTGTTCAACAATTAACTATCTGCCAAATGTTATTGTATTAAAAATGAAGATATTTATCCAGTAAATTTTGCTTTTTCCTGAATCCGATGTGCTGCACTCTTTTTTGTGCATTTAAAGGGTAGCGCCTCGTAAAACAGTTCGCATATGGTGCATTGAAGAAAGAAAATATAGAATATTTCAGTTTCCTGATACTGAATCGCGTTATAAATCATGAGGGTTTTTTTGGTTGTAAAATACTTCTCTAGTTTTTTTTCTCTGTAAATATCTCACACATGATATGTTGGAAGCTTCCATTTTTATTTGACGTAGTACTTGCTGTTGTAGCGTTGTGTAAGCGACGCAATTGTTATAGTGCACATAAAAGAAATGGCTTTCATTTCTTTAGTGTTTTCAACGATTAGATTAGCG